CTCTCCATTAAAAATAGCATCTCCTTCCTCAGTTATCCACTCATCATCAGAATGAAGTTCATCAAAAGGAATAACAAGATTTCTTTTCACTTGTTTACTCTTTAGCTTCAAGTTATACATCACATAAACCAAATCATTCATCTTCCTTTGGTGCAAGCGATTTCTTCTCTTTGTATGAACCTAGAAAATAGAACACAAAAACCAAAATTTCAAGATTACCTATAAGGCTAAAACTCTAATTTCTAAACATTAAAAATTAACAACTAAAAACAAAGACATTAATTCAATTACCATTTCAAATGAACTCCAGTTACGCTCACATCCAGAAGAGCTACAAGTTAAGCTTAGTACACGGATTGCAAACTTCTTTAACTCTGGACATCCATCCCCATAGAAGTCCCACCATTCTGCAGGAAGCATAATCTTCCTACTAGCCACTGCAGTATCAAGACCAAACAACCCTCTAGCATAATGAAATTCAGCAAGTTGCGTACCAATCTTGCTCCTCTCATTCAAGTCACTCACCAACCTTGTCATACAATTGTATAACCCTTGTTTAACCTCAACATCATCATCTCTAAAATTAGGGTCATAATGGAAATGGGGATTGAGGTAATATACAGCTGCATGTAAGGGTCTATGGGGTTGTTTATCTCACGTTTCATCAATAATATTCCATACAGGTTCATAACTATAAATATGAAATAAATACAAGTTAGGAATATTGCCATTATCATATACTAGAAACATGAGTACATAACTATACTAATTTACTAAATAAGATCATTAAATTTCAATAGAAATATAGTTTAGAACTAAGAAAAGTTTACCTTTTCTTAACATTGCCGAAGTTGATTTTTATCTTTTCCTTGGCACAATCCATCCCATCATATATAAAACCCATGGCAGGTTTTTCATCAGAATCCACCAAGCGAAGGACAGTCATAAGAGGAACAACGGCTTTGAGACATATGATTATGTTCTTCCATAGACGACTATCTAAAGCCATGCCTTCCACCTTTCTTCCCTCCGGTGTAGAGGAAAACTTACTTGATTTCCACTCATTTGAACTAAACATACACATCAATGATGCTTTATTATCATTGAGACAAGATAGAGTTAAATAAGCAGTAGCAAATCTAGTTATACCAGGCCTAACCAAGTCCCTCCCCTTAGTGAACTTCTTCAACATGCTAATGAGCATTGTTCTAGAGTATATGTAGGTGGTAATCTTTCTTCCTTTCTTGATAGTCACTTCATGAACCTTTAGCTTCTTCTCAAAATCCTCAAAAATCAAATCAATACAGTGAGCAGCACATGGAGTCCAATACAAATTCTTCCGTGTCTGCATTAACATTTCACCTGCTGCCTTGTAATTTGCAGCATTGTCTGTCACAACTTGGACAACATTCTCTTCTCCTACATAATTGACAACATCATCCAACATTTTAAAAACTTTATCAGCTGTTTTAGAGATGTCAGATGTGTCTAATGAATATAGGAAGACTGTCCCCTTAGGACTATTGATCAAAAAGTTACAAATTGATCGCCTCTTCTTATCTGTCCATCCATCAGACATGATTGAACAACCAGTCCTCTTCCATTCCTTCTTAAACTCTTCAAGCATTGAATCAGTTTCAATCACAGCTTGTTTCAAAAGCTTCTCCCTCACATCATGATAAGAAGGGGGTTTATAACCAATTCCATATCTCCCAATCATCTCACACATCTTTATAAACTCTACATTTTTAATGGAATTGAAGGGAATGGCACTTGTGTAAAAATACCTTGCAACTTGTTGATCAACTTGGTCCTTGTAGTCTTTTTTCATCATTTGGTTTAATGTTATTTGAACTCCAGAACCACCAACTCCTTTTCCTTTTGTCAAAGCCCTCATCTCCATCTCTTTCTCTATGTCATCTTCCTCATCAATATCAACCAATCTCTTTTTCCTCATTGATGTCTCTTTAGCCTCCGCAACAATTTTCATCATTAGAATTTTAACTTCTTCCGGTACCATTGCACATGGTTCAGAATCTTCTCTAGTACCAGCAAGGTGACGCTTAAATCTAAAAATCCCCCCACTGACAGTTTTTGTGCAATAGTTGCACTTCACCTTTTTTCCATTGCCTAGAACATCTGTCCCATGCTTCCAACCCATGTCAGTCCTATTTCCAAGGGCATTTTTCCTTGCTCTGGAAGAAGAAACTGCATTGCTCGAAGACTTTGAGCCACCACCGGTTTCAGACATCTTGCTAATTATAGGAGTATGAGACTAAGTATGTGAATTGTGAATAACACTAACAGACCAAAAAATCAAAAAATGCTAGAGTGAGAAGTAACACTCACGAAGACAGACAGTGACTGGTGGGTGTTCATCGGAAACTGTAGGGACGACGCCGGAAGCTACAACGACGGTGCTGGAAGCTGCAACGACAGCGCCGGAAGCTGCAATGACGGAAACCGCGTTCGTATGCGGCGGAGGGAGAGAAAACAGACTTCCTTCCCAGCAAGAGGACTTGCGTTCGTATGCAGCGGCGTTTGATTGTGGCGGCGTTCGTAGCGGCGGAGATGCGCGTTCGTAGCGGTGGAGATGCGCGTTCGTAGCAATGGAGATGAGTGTTCAAACGCTGCGGAGGGAGAGAAACCAAGTCAGAAACGTGAGAATGGTGGAGGCATCGTCGCACGAAGGGAAAAATTGCTATTCTCACTTACTAACCCTAGGTAAAACAACGTCGTTTTGGGCCATTTAAGGGTAAAAAAAAAAACCTAACCAGACTCGTGGACTCAGCCTCAGACTCGCGATTCTGACCGAGTCTACCCGAGTCAGCCCGAGTTTACCAAAAAACGAGTCTATGCGCGAGTTAACCCGTTTTGCTACCTTAGACTCGTAGACTCGTACGAGTTTACGAGTTGACTCGCGAGTTTGACAACCATGCGTACCACTATGCCGAGCTCGAGCTCGGCATCACTGTGCGAAGTGACCTCAGACACGCGCGCCTCGACATCGGCCAAGACAAGGCCCATCATCTAAACTGATTATAACCGATCTCAGGCCCAAGGCCCAGAAAAACCCTAATTTACACCAAGGTACGTGCATTACTTATACGAGACCCATACATCCACAAACACTAACTTTAGCATCGAAGTCTCTTTTGCAGGTACCACCCCCACTTGGAACAACAACCGTACCCAGCGAAAGAGATATATATATGTCAAATTTAAATTAGAAAGAAAAAATTATTAATTTATATATGTAGAATTTTAACTGAAATTCATATTATAATACATTAATGTTTTGGTGAAAAAACAATTTATCTTTAAAATTAATAATAATTATCAAAGATTTATTGTTTTATATATACATATTCAATAAAAAGAGACATATTTATAATATTCAAATACATACTTTTTTCAATTTTAAAATTTAAAGCACAGAATTTATACGTTTAAATTATTAAATTTTTTAAATTTAATAAATAAATTATATATATATATATATGATTTAGTTATTCAATTTAAAAAATTTAATATTTTAAATGTAAAAATTGTGTGCTTTAAACATTAAAATTGAAAAAAGTATGTATTTAAATGTACCTATTTTTAATGTTTAAAGCACACAATTTTTACATTTAAAATATTAAATTTTTAAATTAAATAACTAAATCATATATATATATATATATATATATATATTAACTAAATCACACACATATATACACACATATTTAACAAAAATAGGCACATTTAATATATTCAACTAATTTTTTTTTCAATTTTCAAAATATAAATTATATAATTATTGTATTTCACATTTTTTATTTTAAAAATTATTTTCAAATTAACAGGTAATTATCTACACATATTTTAAACACATATTAATTTTTTTTCTTAATATTACAATATACACTAAAATTTAAAGAATAAAAATTATAAAAAATGAGAAAGAAACAAAAAGTGAGAACCAAAAAAATTCAATATAGAAGATGGTGAGAACTGAGCAGGAAAAATGAGATAAGTTTCCAATTGGAGAGAGAGACTGTTTCGTGCGAAAGATATATATATTTTTCACCACAAAACATCACCAATGTCCATTATTTGATGTTTTCACAAGCACCGGAACAAGCAATTAGGCCAACACAACAAAATTAGAGTAACAAAAGAACAAGGAAACAAACAAAGTAAGAAACAATAATTCACATTGCTCTCTGATATTCTTGTTGTCTATTAACAATTATTATATATTATCAACTCCACCATTCCTTCCACTGCTCCAATTCCAACTATTTAGTCACTAGTTTCCTTCACGCACCTTACTATATTGACTTGCTCCTTTCACCATGACTGAATCTTCTCACAAGTCTTCAGGTGAGTTTGAGTTCTGGGTTACCTTCAGTTTATTGGGTGCGATTGAAATATCAAAACTTGATTGGTATTTTAGCAGTTTAATTTTCAATCGAATTAACGGGTACGTGTCATATAATGCTGCTGTTTCTTTTTTTGTATCTGATCTTTCACTTGTCTTTTCCTTTTCTTTGGGATGTCCCAGAGGTTGAAAATGATGATGATTTTAGAGTTCACGTGTTCTCTTCATCATCCGAGGTGATATTCTTAACTTCTAAGCCTCTCTTTTTGTACCATCTTAATTTCTTCAAGTAACTCCATTAATCAATACTATTATGGTGTTAAATTGTTTGTAATCTGTGTGTGTCAAAGAAACCAAAACTTAATTGTTTCACAATTGGAGTGGGCAAGCCAGATTAGGGAGAAAGAGTGAAGCAAAGATTTTTCTGCATATGCTTTTCAAATTCGTATAATAATTGAATAACTTATTTGCGGTAGTTTCAATTGGAATGAAATCACTTTTTTGTTTTGTTGCCATCATTAGTTCCATAAAGTTTTGTATTGTCCATTAAGCTTTGCAAATTTCATTGGGGTTGCATTGTTCAGTTGCTTGAAAAGCTTCATGAAAAATGGAGTTCAGTGGAGAAACAACCATACCCAGCTATGTATTCTAGTATTTATGGAGGTATCATACTTGATCCAGCAATGATGGTAATCCCCATTGACGATCACATGGTACACAGAGGGCATGGTGTGTTTGATACAGCTATTGTCTTTGATGGGTAGGTAATGTTAATTTTGGTTTGATATGCATGTAACAAAGCATTGGGGTTTTGCTTTGAATTTTCTGATTCTTGCATTTGAAACACATTCTTTCTCTGATTGTGGTGTTTAAATTGTTTACCCTTTCCAGATATCTCTATGAGTTGGATGTGCACCTTGACAGATTCCTAAGGTCAGCCTCCAAAGCAAAGATATCCTCACCATTTTCTCGGTCAACCCTTCGCAGCATTCTAATTCAACTAACTGCAGTATCAAAATGCAAGAAGGGAACTCTAAGATTCTGGTTGAGTGCAGGTCCTGGGGATTTCTTGCTGTCATCAGCAGGATGTCCAACATCTGCATTCTATGCAGTAGTCATTCACCATGATTTTTCCCAATGCAAAGAGGGAGTTAAAGTGATTACTTCCAAAATACCAATGAAGCCACCTCTATTTGCCACAACAAAAACTGTGAATTATCTTCCAAATGTCCTTTCAATAATGGAAGCTGAAGAGGAAGGAGCATTTTCTTCTGTGTGGATTGATGAGGCAGGTTACATAGCTGAAGGTCCAAATGTGAATGTTGCTTTCATAAATCAGGACAAGGAACTTGTCATGCCTCCTTTTGATAACATCCTATTTGGTTGCACTGCAAAAAGGCTTCTTGAACTTGCACCCAAGTTGGTTGATCAAGGGCTTTTGAAAGGTGTAGCAACTAAAAAACTGACTGTGGAGGAAGGTAAAGCTGCTGCTGAAATGATGTATGTAGGAAGCACCCTTCCTTTGTCGCCTATCATCATGTGGGATGATCAACCCATTGGCAATGGTAACTTAGTAACACAGGTTAACAGTAATTATCTGATTTCAATCTGCTTTTGTATGGTATGAAGGCTGAAGCCTTAACCTTGCTTACTTTCTTCTCAATATTCATGCACGAGCATTTGTATAGGTGGTTTTGAAATAATGCATGTATTATGAGAATGAGTGGAGCAAATTGGTAGATGAATGATCAAATATTAAAGGCTACTTACTTAGAGCCTAAAACTAACAAGATTTTTGTATTTTAATTTTGACTATTCATAGTGATCAAGATTTACTCCTCTTAGTTTCAAACAAATATAACATATTGATCCCTCATCATACATACATACACAAAGAAGTGTATGAAGTGAGAGATGAAAGCATAAGAGAGGTGAATTTTAACCATATAATTAAAATGGTTAAAATTAATTAAAATAATCTTGACTATCTATATACAGTTGTATGGCAGAAATTTACTTTCTTTACTCTAATGTTTTCACCAGATGTGTCCCCTATATATGTTGGCTATATATATACTCACATGCATTCTGGTTGAGTCTCTGTTTCCCACTTTTTTCTCCTTTTATTTATTCAATTATATATGTTTGACAGGGAGAGTTGGAGAATTAACAATGTTACTTTCGGATTTGTTGCTGGATGATATGGTAGCTGGCCCTGGCACACAGAGAATACCTGTTCCTTACGTCTAGTGAACCTACCAAGTCATCAAATTGCAGGCTGGGAACAGCTTTCTTATTTTATGCGTCATGTTCCTAGGAGTTCGGGTTGCAAAAGATTTACTCATGTTTGTCTTTGCATTTGCTTTATGTATTTGAAGTGTGAAAACTGAGCAAGTCCTGAAGTGAAGCAGCAGGTGTTTCCTGCTACACAAAATTTACGTAGCAGATAAATAATCCTTCAACTGTTTCACGTTGTTGTAATGAAATAATAAAGACTCTGCACTGCAGAGTGCCAGAACCATTGGCTTTGATATTCACGCATGTTTCCACGTGCTCCAGTTGTGTGCAATGCATGCATTTATTTTCCATATAGTTATCATATCTCTACAACAGTAATATTGGCCCAATTTTCTATGTAGAGGAGTCCATTGTTTAATCTCATCAACATGGAGAGGAGTTTTTGTTCAAGCCTTGGACATAAGTCCAAGAACCAACAAACCAAAAACGTAGTAGTACACTCTCCAAAACCTACAGCAGTAGCACACAAATTCATTTTAGATGAAAACAGATACACAACATACAAGTGAGGATGTGGGTTTTGGGTTCCTTGCTCTATCTCTTTATCCTTTTGTTCACTTGTCTATTTTTGACATTGGTGGTCGGTAAGATTGTTGCTTTTGGATTTGATTTGGGAAGATCACAATACCAAATTATTGAAATTAAGGTGGTCCTTTACGTCCCATTATTCATCTATCCGTTTCTTCATTGTTCTTCTTGGTGCATCAAGTTGGCTTAGGTTAAGGGCTTGTTTGTGTCAATGTTTACGTATGTTGAATGTCTCGAAGAGATGCAGCATAATGTATCTATTAACTTTATTATAGTCATCGAAAAATTTAAGTGTTTTGTTCAAGTGACTTACTACAGACCTGCCAGAATCACTTGAGCTTCATATATAAAAAAGCTTAATTTGTTTCTTGTGTTGAGTTTTGACAAATTGAGAGTCTTCTCACTTCTTTTAAACTCAGAATCAAGAGTCAGATTTTTCCCTCTCCACATCCGAGACAGGTTACACGCATATCTATTTAATATACATGCAGAATCACACATCAAACTAGTTAAATATATATTTATAATACATGGATAATAGAAGTAAAACCGATCTTTCCTAAAATGAATATTGTTTGGATGGTGAACACGAAGGTGTCTCCAATGTCAACTCTGGCGCGGCAGTGTCCAAGTGATGAGAGGGCAACGGAAGAAACCACTTACAAGCAAGTCACTAAAAATAACGGCAGAGTAACAATGAAAGTATCATAGAAATGTAACCAAACATGTCATATGAGATCCTACTTATGGTAGATATGGTAAGAGGTAAGAGACAAAAAGTAGTTATCTTACATGAATAAGAGTATGGTTGATTTGGTGTTTAAACCGTATAAACGTCCTTTCAATTCAAAGTAACAACTTTGTTGTTTCTCAATTCTTGTATCGGAAAGTGGGAAATTATTGTAACATTTAAAAAAATGCATACTCAAATATGTTGTAAGTTGTTAAGAAGTGTGTTACATAATGCATTGTGTCTCTTGTAGATTGTCAAGTTACTACATGAGGCATTATAAGATTGGATTAACATGATTAGGTCAGTTTAATCATAACTAAGTCGTTCTATGTGTGATTAGGTTAACCTTGGTTTGACTATGTAGGTTTCGCGTGGTTAGATTGGAGTGCTTCACCCGAAAGTCGGTTGGCATGGCGGGTGAGGTTGATCTCAAAGTACTTCTCCAAAATAATAGCCTCCAAGTCAATGTAAAGCTTTAAGCTGATTTTGCCCGAGTTTTGGCTCATAGTAGATTCTCCATAACAAATATATAACATTAAACAAAAAAGTTTGGAATGAATCATGCAAAGTTTTTCTATTATTGTCGAATAACAAATATTCAGGTGGAATACATAAATTAAAATCAAAACTAGCAGAGCAACTCTCATGAATTCTGCTGAAATATTATTTGTAGCTTTGTCATTGTCGTTTGCCTCAAATCAAAAGCTGTCAAAGTTAAGAGGCACATTACAAGAGTAATCCATGCTGAAAACCTTTCTTTGAGTGTAATGAACTCAACGCTAAAGTATCATTATCCAAGTTCTTGTTACTGTCCCAATTAGATTCATATTTAATTAAAGGTTATGAAGTTAAAATACATTACTGTGTAAAGACACATGTGTATGGCTCTAACTGGATAGTTGAGTGAAGCTCTTTTTGTATGCTTGTCCTTTTCTAGATGCTGCAGCTAATAATCACATAAGATTGATCAAACTTTCTGCAAGTTAAATGGCAAATTGCCTTTTTAAGTGGCTCTCTGCCTCTGCTACAAGTCCTCTCTCTACTTGTTTAATAAACGATTTTTACGTAGGAAAGTTTGAAATGTAATAAATAATAATGGGTACAGAAAAACAGACTCAAAAATAATATGGTATAAATTGATCGCTCTTTCACTTATTTGAGAAAAAATAAGTTATCAATGTATTGTACATTGTTAGGCAGCCCAAAAGTACAGTTTTTTTTTTGAAGGGTGTAATGTTCTAGTAATTTATTTGAGAAAAAATAAATCATCAATGTATTGTACATTGTTAGGCAGCCCAAAAGTACAGTTTTTTTTTTCAAGGGTGTGATGTTTTAGTAATTAGAATATTCCTCTTGGAGCCATGTGCCATTGAAAGGCATCTATGGGTTTGTATGTTTGCTGCTATAAATCTTTCAACCTTTAATGAAAAATAAGAAGTGGGGAAGAGTTGAGAACCACAATCAAGGTTGTAGGACCTTCCGATCATAGGTTACGATCATGACAAAACGTTGCATAGGATCCAATAGTTGTCGGTATTTTGTGTGCTGTAGATGCCGTATCAAGCCACTATTTAACCAAACTTTTGCCGGCAGAGGAAGCACTGGATGTCCCATGCATTTAATCTCAAGTCTCAACCTATAAGAAAAGTAACTTGAAGAGTTAGTACAGAGCAACATGGAAACTAGTAGAGTTTGCCTGTTTGGAAATTATTAGAACCAACGACAAGAAGCAATAATTTTCATCAAACAAGAATTTGGATCTTCTCTTGTTCTTAAATGACAAGATATGATTGTTGGAGAAAATAATACTTTTTTGTTATTAGACGAGGATCCCTCGTGTTTAGTTGTAGGAACTAGTAGTTATATTGAAAAATGACAAGCATAAAACTTCAATCAAATTGCAAATGCAAGGGGTTTGGAGTTACTTCCCAATTTTTGATGGTTTGTATATTCTTCTCTCACACCATTTTTAAACCCCTTACTTTTGATTCCTATGGCCAAATATGTGATTGTTTTGTTTTTCTGATATTCAATGCTTGGATGTGTTAGGAATATTTTCTCAATATTTATTTAAGAGAATATTTATATCAGTTATAAATTTGTTGTTATTTGATTTTTTAAACTATTTCACACACATTTCTATAATTATGAGATATTATCAATTTTACGATTAATTTTTTATTTTTATTTTTAATTATTACTTAAAAGACTTCTCAACTTTTAAAATATATGTGTATGTACTTTATAAATTATTATTATTTTTCTCTTATTTTATTAAAGTAGAACTTTATTTGTATGGATAAATATGAAATATAAGCATATTTTAAATTTTGAAATAAGTTAAAATTTAAATACTTATGGAACTTTACTTTTTAAAATTAATCAAAATTTAACCCATTCTAAAATTTAGTTTCTGGAAAGGGCTTTTCTTGTAAAAAAGATGGCAAAGAATAATAATAAAAAATGGCAAGTTTTCTTTATGTGTTGCACTAAAAAATACAACTAGAAATTGGTCCGTTGTTAAATCTGTCACAAAAAAAAGATGTGTTTTTGGTTCGTCCCTGGAGTATCCACCGCTGATAGTAGTGATTAATCTCCTCGCTACGTTGGAGGTACCTTAAAGGATGGGATAACTGGCCTCAAAATTTAAGGCGGCTGCATACACAAAAAAGATGTGTTTATTAAATAAATAAATAAATAATAAAAATAATTTTTTAAAACGGGGCTGATGCGTATCCAGCATTCTGGGCACAAGTTACAACATTGTATTAATATATAGGCTTAAATATGTTTTTAGTCCCTCAAATTTAAGATAAATTTGTTTTTGGTCCCTCAAATTTAAAACTGTTGTTTTTAGTCCCTGTAATTCTCAAAAATCTTGTTTTAGTCCCTTAGGTCACCGATAACATATTTGAAAGTGACTAATTAAGACAGTTATGCAATATCAACCGGATTTAATGTGATATTTTCACTAATAGAAACACCAATAGGTAGATTTTATGCAATAATGTTTGATAAATTTCTTAACATAACTTGAATATAAGGACTAAATTAAGATTTTTTAAAATTACAGGGACTAAAAACAACAATTTTAAATTTGAGGGACTAAAAATAGATTTATCCTAAATTTGAGGGACTAAAAACATATTTAAGCCTAAAAAAATTACTAAAAATGAAAGGGAGGTGGATTTAGCAATTTAGGGGATGTACTTTGCAAATTCCCTTCAAAGCTTGGGCTTGGGATTTTTGGCCCGTGGCAATAGCAGTTGTTGGCTGTAGGCATTGATTAAAGAACAAAATAACAATTTTGTGCTGTTAAAAACGTGTTTCATCATATTTATTAATTTGGAACATAACCTATAGTTAACGAATAAGAAAGAAAGAAAAAACTTTCAATCCTGTCTAATCGTTGAAATGAAGATAGTTTTTATTTATATTTATTATTATTATTATTATTATAATAATAATAAAAGTATATTATTTCCTTTTGACGAAGTTGACCCTACAAAAGTAAAATAATACCTTTAATTATAATTTTGTGTTCAAACTAAAGATCAAGACAGATATACCTTTTAAATAAACTAAAGATTAAAATAATACCTTTTAAATATATGTTCTTTAGTTAAAGAACATATATGTTAAATTATTTGTGTTAATGATTTTTTGATTAAATAAAAATAATTTAAAATTACTTTAATACTACAAGACCTTTGAGATAAGAGAATTCTCATTATCTATCTCCAAATGTTAGAGAGAGTTGTTATCAAGATTTTGCAATCACAAATCACTACTAGAAAAGTGTTATTTTTTTGTAAATTTTCTTGCAAAAAAATATTCGTAGAAAGTTTTTGCAAATTTTCCTGCAAAAAAATATTTGCAGAAATTTTTTGTGAATTTTCCTGCAAAAAAATATTCGCAGAAATTTTTTTGCAAATTTTCCTGCAAAATATAATTTACAGATATTTCTTACAAAATTTGCTACAATTTTAATAATCATGGAAAAAAAATTTCCATGGTAAAAATTTGCAGAAAATATTGTAAGAATTTTATTTTGTTTCTTGTAGATTTTCTTGCAAAAATAAATTCGTAAGTAATGTTTACTAAATGGTAGAAAAATTTTGCAGGTAACTTTTCCTGCAGAATTTGCAGGAAAAATAAAAAAATATATTTGAATTCATAAGTTTAATATTTTAAAAAATCTTCAAGTCCCACATCGATTGAAAATAACACAATTAAAGAGTATATAAGTTGGAGTAACACTTACCTTCCAAGTTGAATTGTATGGTTAAGTGTGAGGCTTATAATCTACAATCTTAGAATTTAAAAGATTATGTAAGAGGCATGAAAATAAAAGATTATGAATTCTTAAAATATAGAATTTATAGTAATTTTTTAAAAATTTTTCCGTAAAAAATATTCCTGCAGAATTTCTTGCGAAAAAATTCGCATGAAAGTTTCTTGTGAATTTTCCTGCGAATTTTTTTTTGCAGGAAAATTTCCTGCAAATTTTTTTTGCAGGAAACTTTCCTACGAATTTTTTTCGCAAGAAATTTCGCAGGAAAATTTCCTGCAAATTTTAAAATTCGCAAAAATATATTATCCACGAAGGTATTACCTGCAAATAAAATTTTGCAGAAAAATTTGCAGGAACAACATTTCCTGCAAATTTTTATGAAAAATTCGCAGGAAAAGTTGCATGTAATAAGAGAAATTCTAATAGTGAATATCTTAGAAAAACATGTTTAAAACACAAGTTTTTTTTGTTAGTAAAAAAAAATTATATTTACAATAAAGAGTACCAAACGTAAATAAATACTTATGCATCAATCTCAACCTCCACCACTAGATAATTCCAAGTGGTACATAAGCTTTTATATAAAGCCTATAACAAGGCACACATTTAAAAAATTTATCTCAAAATCTTGAAAAAAAAAAATCCTTGCACAAGATGTTTTAAGAGATTTTTAAATGTAAACAATAGCATGTTTAGGTTCATTTTCAAAAGACATTGTGTGGCAACCTGGGATTCAAATTGGGTCTGGAGGTCAGTGAATTTGGTGGAAAGGTGTTGAATGGGGTCATCTTCCTTAGAAGAACGGGGAGGCATGAGGAGAACGAGAGCACCAAATAATAGAGGTTTGCTAGAAGAAACGATTCTACACTAGGTTATTGCTAAGAAAGATATTCATTCCATGCTTGAAGAATTTCCATACAGTCACTATAAAAGAAAGACCTAAAGATATTGGGTGCCTACACGTGTAGAGCACAAATTTAGGGAATAACAACAATGCAACAGAATTCAAAATGCAACAAAATAACACCAAGCCTATTTTAAAAGCCCAATCTTTAAGTTATATAGTCTTTGAACTTTAATGGGCTTCGCATTATACGTTTGGGCCTTCGGTGGCCTATTTGGGTCATATTATTTCAGGCCAAGGGGTTCAACCTGACCTAGAGAAGATTCAAGCTATCGTAGCTTGGCCTCCTCAACGTTCACTCACGGCTCTACGCGGGTTCTTAGGCTTAACTGGTTTTTATAGAAAATTTGTCCGCAACTATGCAGCGATTGCCACTCCCCTCACCGATTTGTTGCGTTCACCTATTTTTCAATGGAGTTTACAAGCACAACAAGCTTTCACCGAGCTCAAAAGTAAAATTACATCTGTTCCGGTTCTGGCTCTTCCAGACTTCAGTTCGCCTTTTGTCATCGAGACCGATGCTTCTGGCATTGCAATTGGTGCTGTTTTGTCTCAGCATGGTCATCCTATTGCTTTCTTTAGCAAACGCCTATGTCCTAAGCTCCAAGCTGCCTCTGTCTATGTCCGTGAAATGCTGGCTGTAACAGAAGCCATAAAAAAATGGCGTCAATATTTGATTGGCCACTATTTTCAGATTATTACTGATCAAAAGAGTTTAAAGAGTTTGCTTACCCAAGCAGTCCACACTCCTGAGCAGCAGAAATGGGCCATTAAGTTCTTGGGCTACCACTTTGACATTCTCTACAGGCCTGGCAGTCAGAATCTGGTGGCTGACACTTTATCTCGCCCAGAACCGCAACCTTCGATCTTGTTACATATTTCTTCACCTGTTCCCCTGTTCCTTCAACCTTGGCAGCAATATTTTAAGACAACGGGTCAGGAATTAGTTCATAAATTGCTTCAAAAAGATAATGGGCAGGATTTGTTTACCTTTCGCAATGGGCTATTGTATTTCAAGGAACGACTGTTTGTCCCAGATTTTGCTGATTTTCGCCTTCAATTGCTCAGGGAGTTTCACTGTACCCCCGTTGCTGGTCACTCGGGTTTGAAGCCTACAGTTTGTCGTCTCGCTGCTGTTTTTTATTGGCCAAATCTTTATTCTGATACGCGCAAGTTCATTCGAGAGTGCCCTACATGTCAACATAACAAATATATGCCAACAAAAAAATTTGGGTTATTACAACCCCTCAAAACTGCCAACAGAGTATGGGAAGACATATCCATGGATTTCATTACGCACCTTCCAAAATCGTTGGGTCATTCCACCATATGGGTTGTTTGTGATCGTCTCACAAAGTTTGCCCATTTCATTGCCCTTCCTGCCCACTTCACAGCACCGCAGCTCGCTCGTCGTTTCATGGTTGAAATCTTCAAAATCCATGGCTTTCCGAAATCCATTGTTTCGGACAGGGATCCGTTGTTCGTGAGTTCTTTTTGGCGTGAACTTTTTCGCGCCCAAGGCACCACCTTGGCTTTTAGCTCCGCCTATCACCCTCAGTCGGACGGGCAATCAGAAGTCTTGAACAGATGCTTGGAAGCTTACCTTCGTTGTTTCGTTAGTGATCACCCTCATGCTTGGTACCAATATCTTCACTTGGCATATATATATATATATATATATACTTTAAAAAAATGTGTAAGGCTATGAAAAAATATTCAATGGTTAGTTCACAACAGTTGACAATGTAACCAGCTACTGACTTTGACCTTTCCTTGTAGTCTGTCTATATTCTTCTATACACAATTTCTTTGCTTTCGGTGGAACGAAAATCCGAGACATATTATTTGGGAATGTTCAATAATGTATTGTGTATTTTTATATTTTTTATTGTTTTCAAAATTGGTGTTGATACTCGGTTTGGATAAGAGTTAACAACTAAAAATACAGTTATATTTTCGTAGAAATGGTAGAAATTGATTTAATGGTAGAGTTATATATTTTTATTAAACTAAGGTCGGTTCAATTGTTTTAGTGGTCCACAATTTATTATCTTAAAAAAATTAGAACATTTCAAAACCGATGTAAATAGTGTTAGAGCAAAGCCACACCCACACGTGAAAGAGAGAGTATCAGAGGAAAACGTAAAGTGGGAGAAAAATGAATTCTTATTCTGTATATTATATTTCAGTACAAGGGGTGGTATTTATAATGTTTTAATCACTTCTAACACCTCCCCTTGATTCAAACCAATTACAAACTAACAACATTCAAAAACTCTCTCAACTCTTTAAATCTTTCACTCTTCATGGATTTAGTCATAATGTCTGCTAGCTGTTTCTCAGATCTGCAATGCTGAAGTCTGATCCTCCCCTTGCTTACTTGATCTCTGAGGAAATGGAATTTCGTGTCTATATGCTTGCTTCTACCGTGTGACACAGGGTTCTTAGCCAAGTCAATTGCTGATTTGCTATCCACCAGCAAATCCACTGCTTCACCAGTAAACATCGTTAATTCCTTAAGTAGAGAGGATATCCACAAGACTTGACAGACCTAGTGTAGAATCGTTTCTTCTAGCAAACCTCTATTATTGTATGATAGTGTTTCTACATCGAAATCAAATATGCATTAAAACAAAAAACCTCTTTGTTGCGATTAATTATGTTAACTTTAATTACATTATGTTTTAAAAAAATGAAATAGAAACACATAGGTTAACCAAACTTTTCTTCCAATTTACTTAATAATGCGTTTTTTTTCAAAATTATGTTTTTTTTTATGTCATGTGGCTGAGGTGCAAAATAATGGATTAATGGTTAGCATTTGTTTGAAAATTAAAATATGTTTTTAAAATTCAAACAAAATTGTGATAATCTAAATAAGCTTCTATAAGATGAATGAATTGAAAGTTAATAATTACTTAGTATAATGATATTTTCTTCTTAAAAAGATAGTTCTCATTTGCTTGACTATATTAAGATAATTTGTAAGTCTTTTCTATAGGCGAAATTTCTCCGTAATGATGCGATGAAATAAATGCATTTAAAAATAATAATGTCAAAATGTTTACCCCATTTTGGGATGAAGGGAAGAGATAGGTAAAGAGGGGAGTAGAAAATAGTATTTATTATGATGTGATGTAATAAAAAAAAAGTATAGAGATGGGAAGAAAAACGAGATGAAAATAAGTTGCAAGGGAAAAAGGTGCATGTTTATAAATACCCTTTTAAAAAATAACATTCAAAATTCAACTTACACCATAAAGTATTGTTTCCTACTAAGTGTCCAAACTCCAAGAGGAATTAGAATAACCAATGAAATATTTGTTATTGTAAACTCCTTAACATATCATATATATATGGTAGCTTAATTATGTCTAAAACAATCCATATAAAATGATAAATAGTGTTGGAAAAGTGATAATACGTGTATTAACTTGTTGTCCCACTTTGTAAAGGGACTACAATTAGAAAATACAAATCAATGTAATATGTTAAAATTTACATATAACTTATAAAATCCTCTAAATTATACAACACTATTGTCTTCTATCGCTATGAAAAAAAATTAATAATAATAATAGAACATGGAAAAATAATTTCTAATAATAGTATATGTACAATTAATCAAAATATAAATGCATAAATAAAGACAAGACACAAAGTGTAACTTTTATCTCTACTCAAGATGAGTTTATATTTGTGAGGTTTGGCCTTGCCATCTGTAAAACAAAGAACCAAATATCATTCACAAGCATATTCACTGCCAAATAATATATTAAATAAATAACTAGTATTACTTTCTAGAATAAAGTTATGGATTGAGAAAATGATAACTTCCAAAAACCTTGAGAGAAGAAAACTTGCGAGTGGACTCAAATTGCTATTTGCATGATGTTCCTTGTTTTGTTGTTTCTTCCTATTAGCATTTTCGGTTTCTTCAGTTGAATTGGTCTTGCTGAATAGTTGGCTTGCTAGTCCCTGCAGGTCCTTTAATGAATCTTCCTTTGAACTGCACCCACAAGAGAATGAGATACATATATAATTGTTTTAAGTTTGTCTAAAACTTAAGTAGAAAATACACCTGGCCAACCGTTGAAGCAACTTTTTAACAACAACATCACAAGATTTAGGTTTTGTGCCTTCCATGTTTATAAAAGAATTGATAACCGATCGCACAATCGAGCCTTCTGAATCATCAGCAATAGCCTACAAAACAAAAACAAAATATGACCAAAACCATAATAGAAAAAAAAATCTATTCATGTGATAAGTTGTCGAAGCATGCAAAACTTCCATCTTATCATGCACATATTTCTCTAGTGTAATATCATTTCATCATGTTTTTATAATGTAAAAAGTCTTGGTATGAAAAATCATCATGTAGGTGGTTAATAGTAAAAATCAATTATCGATAAATAGTTAGTAAAACTAATGCATCATACTCAACTAAAAATAATAAATATCTTAAACAATTTTAATAATGGAATTTTGAGAAGCAATCAATATAGTCTAGAGAAGCTTTATAGGGAACTACAAACTTACACTACAAAAAATGTTTCATATAGTGACATACAAAAAGTGTCACTATAGGTATAATATATATAAGTATATACTTATTTGACATATAGTTACATATAATTTTAGTGTTGATTTTAAATGAGATTTAACAACATATTTTTGTGTGCCACTATAGTCTATACCTACACTTTTTAACAATATACCAACATATAGTATATTTATTGTGTGAGTAAAAGTAGTTTTTAGTGACACGTATTGTGTCATTATAGAGTGTGTGTCACTATATAATAATTTTCTTGTAGTGTTATTTAGAATAAAAGAAATTCATAATACAATGTTTACTCTAACACATTGCTTAGAAATAGTAAAGATAACATATATGAACAAATTTACCTCTTTTAATGAAGGAATAAGTAAAACAGATAATGGCGCAGATGATGACATTATCTTAGAATTTTCTGCGTCACCAATAGCATGATGTGATCTTAACAAGCCCTTGTTTGCACCATATTCACCATGTGGTCTGGAAAAAAAAAAAAAAAAAAAGCCCCCAAGAGTGTATATACACGTCTTTATTTCAGTAACAACAAAAAAATCAATTCAATTGTTATGGACGTACCTTGAAGAATCAGAGCTGCTAGACTTTTGATCTCTTTTGCTCCCATGTCTATCGTTGTTGATTTTTCCTCGTGGAAATTTCTCTTGAGCATTTTTTTTCCTCAAGATAGCAGCCTTTGCCTATGAAAAAGAATAGGTAGGAAAATGATGTATATTAGCAATATCAATTTGAACAAGTAATCACAAGCATATCAAGTCTCATTATAAATTTAAATGAACATAAAAAAAGGGGGAGTTTTTGACACAAATGCTTGGCAAATGGTTTTAGAATTAATATACCCTACATAACAAATCGAGTGGGTAACTCAGGCAAAACTATAGCAAGGGAAAATAATAAAATATTATTCCACAAATAAATCAACAACATCATGGAAGTAAGCATATACACAAGAAATAGAGGAGGCTTATTTTGTGCTAAATTAATCGACACAGCAAGTGAAGTTTACAACTTATATAACAAAGAAATAGAACCTCAGCAAGATTTGCTGCACTATCTTCTGTTAAGGCATTTGATTTTTTGTCATGAATTCCCAATCGAGACCTTGGTGTCTGTGGAGAATCAGAGTCATTCTGCTGGCTACGTAAAACAACAGTTCCACTTGTAGAAGCATCTTCAAAAGAAGCATGGCTGCTGCTAGACTACATTTAATTAAAATCTTGAGTTGATGACTATCCAAAACAACTATAAGAACTCTTGAATTTCTTGTTAAAGTAACACAAGATTGAACAATACCTGAGAGTTCTGGTCACGAAACACAGATGACCTTGATCCTTTTGGAGATCGAACAACAACAGTTCCTATTTCATTCCCAAATAAGTCACCCTACAAAATAAAGATTTTAGAAGGTCAAAGAAGTTTAGGTTGTTCAAAATGAAACTTCAATAAGTTCATAGGAATTCCATCTTTACTTTGTGAATGACACAATTCTTTCAAATAATATTGATATGTTAATTCTATAAAAAAAATGTACCAATACAAAAAATTATTTTTTATTTGTGTTTGCTAATCTGGTAGCTAGCAATATTAGTTGTACAATTTTTTTTATCACTTTAAGCTCAAAGTGTCTAAAAGCTTGGCAGGTAATCATTTAGAGTTAACTAGTTAAGTAGTGATCATATATCCAACGTTTTATAAATACCAAAAACACCCAAAGGTTCCTTCCTCCAAGGAGATGTGGTTACTAAATATATCATTCAATTGATTAAGTTAACTTGCTTTGAAAAAGAGAGGCACGCATAATAAAAATCGATTACATCTTCAAGGTGATTATCCAAATACTCATCATGGTGGGGGGCTTTAAGATCTCCTCTAGAAGAACTTTCAAGTGACTCATTTGATGCAATTCTATTGGTGGATCCCCCTTGATAAACATTTTCTGGAGCTTTTCTTTGGGTAAGCTGGTTATGTGAAACTTCAGTTTTCTTATCTCTAAATTGAGGTGGTCGAGAAACATTACGAGAGGTTCCAGTACCCTGTGATCCACCAATGTTGAAGTCCCATCCAACACTTTTTAGGGTTTGATTCTGATCCCTGCAAATTAGAAACTATTCATAAAACATTCAGTAAGTAAAATAAAAACTAGTATCCAATAGTCATAACCTACCTGGGTCGATTATTTTCTTCACCTCTTAAATCTCTAGCCACCTTTACTGTATCTGTTGCCTCACCCCTCCCTCTTGAGCTATTTCTAGGTGTCTCTTCTTGCTCTTCCTTTATTTGGTACTTTGGACGTTCCCTATAATATGAAACCACAAGTAGGGGAATAATACTTGAAATTTTCAATTTTCTAATGAATAGCATGCTAAAGTTACACAAAAAAAAGGGTTTCATAAGTTAATTAAGCATCTCATCGTTTATTTATTTTTTTCCTAAGGTATATTAACTTCACAAAAGTAAAATGGAAGAATAATAGAAAAAATAATAACGTAAAGCAAAATTGAGGTAGAATTACATGTATAAAACATAGCAAAACTTGTATCAATAATTCACACCTTATTCTTTCTGAAAGCTTTGGATTCTTCTTAGCATTTCGAATAAAACGATCTTTGAGAAGTTCCTTAGCACTTGGCCTCTGGAATTGAATCCATTAAAAGGGGGAATTAAGAGCTTGACAGGCAGAATCAACTTCACCAATTCCACTCCAAACTAGCCTACTACTCAGGGAAAACTAAAAATACATCATATCATGTTGGCATCTACAAATTTCATTAGGAAAAATATATACAAATACTTTTATTATCCTTATTATTACTAAATTACAATGCAAGTTAAGATATCCTACATCAAATATTTTAATTAATATTTCTTATTATTAACCCCCCCCCCCCCAAATGTTCTAAAAAAGCATATTTAGTATTAAAAAAAGGAATATCTTGTGGATGTTCTCGTACAATCCGTAAAATGAACATTTCATTTGATTTGAACCATAAAGCATAATCTTTTCATTTGTATAAAAAAACTATAAACATGCCCAAGAGAATTGACGAATATGAAATAACAATAATAATAATAATAATAATAATAAGTGTTTAAAACAGCAGGAACCTTCTTTAAGCATAGTGAAACAAAGTCTTTCAATGAACGAGAAAAATGATCATCAAGCTGAATACAATGAGATTAAATGTCAAATGTGTTATAATGGAAAAATAACATCCTTATTTGAAAAACTTAATTTGCTTCTAATTGTTCAAAACTTTAAAGATTAAATTGTTTGACATTAAAGAGCATAACCTGTGGAGGATTCTCACGAGGTATGATGAAAAGCACTCTCATCGGGTGAAGATCAGCAAGTGGAGGCTCCCCTTTTGCCATCTCAATTGCAGTGATCCCTAGAGACCAAATATCTGCCTAAATAAGCAGAATAATCCAAAAAAAATTAACACAATTTGAATAAAAATAAGAAAAAACATAACAAAAGAGAAACATAACAAAAGACATGTAAAATATATTACAACCTTTTCATTATATCCATCTGTATTTTGAATAACTTCAGGTGCCATCCAGAATGGTGTTCCTACAAATGTCTGTTATGATGATGATAAAAATAAATGTTAGCATATTTAGTCAAAAATGAAGAATACTAATTTAGATTACCATGTGACTTTTCAATTGTACTAAGAATTATATGTAATAAGGGTTCTGATAGAAAAATACAACCTATATAAGGAAAACAACAACTTAAAAATTAGTTTGCTTGACTCAAATTACATCAAGAAACATGATATTCTGCACTTTACACGCCTTTTTTTAATCACTTTGGGAGATTATAAATTCAATTTGATTATGTAATTGAAAAAAAAAAAAAGAGAGAGAACAATTTTATACTCTTCAAAGAATGTTATTTTTACTCACTTTGGGAGATTATAAATTCAATTTGATTATCTAATTGGAAAAAAAGAGAGAACAATTTTATACTCTTGAAAGAATGTTAAAAAGTTAAGACTGAGATGATAAATCATAAAATAATAGATGAGTTTTAATCTAAATATAATGAAAACATATATTATATCAATAACCATCCATGTGTAATTAATTTTAATGATATATGCTTACCTTTCTCCTTGATATAGTCCTCGTTAATTGAGCAGAAACACCAAAATCTGCAACCTAGTAACATTTCATGTATATGTAAATTTACATCTTAAATTATCATGTGTATCATCTTTCAATGATGTCATATAAAATAAACAAAGATATAACATTTTTCATAATATAACGTACCTTTACATCACCGATCTCAGTTAATAAAATGTTTGCAGCTGTATAATTAAAATGCAAATATTGTCAATTATAAAGCTAATGTAAATTAATGCAAAAAAGAAAAATCTCATAACTATAAAAATATAGATGGACAAGGGAAAATAAGTTTTGAAGTACAACAAATTTAATGGCTATAGATTTGTAGCTAATACCTTTAAGGTCTCTATGAATTTTTCCTTCACTATGCAGATAATCAATAGCATGCAACAAGTCACGTAGAATGCAGGCAATTGACATTTCATCAAGGGGAGGACCTGATTGAAGCTATAACAGCAAAACTAAAATTAACTCCATAAATGAGTTTTTTTTTAATGATAGAAAATTTAATAACAGGGTAAGTACAAAGAAAGATAAGAAATCTTCCTAGAGCAACCAATGAAAATAAATAACAAAAGAGATCGAAGGTTAAAAACCAAAAAAAAAAAAAAAAGTTATAAGCATCCAAAGTCATACAAACTAAATCAACCAACATCAATCTACAAATTATGTTGTCATAGATGATAACAAAATTATATTACAAACATACAAGAATTATAACTACAACGTCAAGCTTCACTAACATATGTAATATATAATTCAATTTTATATCATTTCTTTGGTTCATTGGAATTTAAATAGCCAATCCCCTATTGTAAACTCCTAAGAGATCAATATGAACCTTGGACGAAAGATGGATACTAAGTAGTGAGTGCTAAACCATTAGCATTTCCCCCTAGGATACTTTTTTATATGTTGAATATTTATGCATGCTTGTAACTGTTTTCCCATGTTAGTCAGAAATTACACACAAAGAATTCAAGTAACCATATTTTCTTTTGATTGTTCTCTAGAAATCATTTTTTCTCTTAAAAGAATGATCTCTTTGTAACCTTTTTTGTCTTAGTGATTTTTTTATTTTATAAAAAATAAGTAAAAAATTGTTCAAGAATAAGCATGGTAATTTACTAAAGGATAATTTTTAACAAAACGTGAATTTTAATCTTCATGCACTAAACATAGAAGTGCAAGTAAACAAAAGTAACCTACTAGATCAGCAACTGAGCCACCAGCCATGTATTCCATGATTATCCAAAGTTTAGTTTGATTGATATAAGAACCATAATACTCAGTAATGTATGGACATCGACATTGGGATAGAACAGAAATTTCCTGAAAACATTAAACAAATCAAAAGTTAAACATTTGGGTATATTAAATGTCAAGTACAAGTAATCCACAACATTATACCTTCTGGATATCATCAATTTCATCCTCTCTGTGAAGTAACAAAAAGAAATGAAAGAGAAATTAGGAAGCAGCTAGGTAGAAATGCATATAGATTCAAAGTGAAATATAACAAAAGTACAATGTTAATAAGAATTGTGACTTTTTTTGTGGTGAAAATCTTTATCTAAAATAATCAACATAAATGAGGCCCATTTAAAAATATTTTCCCTTTTTTATCGTTGAGTTAATGCTCAACTCTCTAATAATAATTCATAATGAAATTGTCTTGTACTCCATCCTACTATTTAAGCAAACCACTTATTTATTCTCCAACAACTTTAAACCCTCAAAGTAATTTTGTAACTCTAACCAACTACTTTGCCCCACATCTTTCATTCTTATGTCCTAAGCATTACCTATCAATGCCAACCTTTTGAAGTTTCACCTTACCCTCTTAAAGAAAAAATTGTGGATTCCCCCAACATGAGGACTCTTGTGGAAGATCATAATTTTTTTTTTCATTCGAGCACATGTGCATGGTACCAAATGGTTGGCCACGATGAAACATGTTATTGTTAAGAAAATTATCTACAAACTAGTATGGTTCCCATAGAACCCAATTGAGTCATAATTCCTCCCAGGTTTTGTCCATAGCTTTTCACTAGCAATCAAAATTGGAATTCGCTAATTTGGCAAGGAAACCTATGGCATTTAACCTCTTCCATATCTCTGGCCAAATTTATAGCCTTTGTAACAACCTTGGGTCATGCATTCATATACCACTCTTCACTTAGGTCCTCAATCCTCCCAAGATATACACCAACAATTACCCTTAAGAATTTTTATTCTTGGCAACCAAGATTTAATCTTAGTGATACTCCTTAACTGAGCTCATTTTCCTTTGGGTAGTATTCCTTTCATGCATATTGCCCATGTTTCTATTTGCGAATCTTTGCATTAATGTTGTTGTCAACCCTTCCCAAGTTTAGTATGATGTTTTCTTCCTCAATAAATTGAACCAATGAACTATCAAGCCTTCCATGCATGCAATTGCAAGTATGGGTGGGTATATAAATCGGTCAGACCATTTAAAATTTGACTTGTGAAGATCACATTTAAATAGGTTGGATAAGTCCATATGTGAAAAAAATAAACAATTAAAAATTTTAGACCCGTATCTAACCCTCTAAGCCTGTAGATAAATGGATTAGTCCACCAATCTAATGAAAATATGAAAATTTAAAAAGTATTTTTTTTCAAATTGAAGGAGTTATTTTCCTTTCCTTTCTTAAACTATGGAAACATAAAAAGAAAAGAAATATATATATACACACACATTTGTGATAAAATCAAACATTTTAAGTAAATGATCATAGTCTTATCATATCAATGTTTACACATTCTAAAAAAAATCAAAGTTTTAATGTCTTGAAAATTTAAAAGTCTAAATATACAAATTAAATATCAAAGCCTATGTGTCTTAAAAAAAAATAATGGTGTCAATAAATAAATAAAACATATTATTGTTAAATAGGCTAACCAGGCTTCACGAATTAAACTTGCAAAGTCTGTAGACTTCTCAAGTCAAGCCTAAAATTTGATATAGTTGGACAAATTCTAAAAATAATGGGCATGTATCCATGCGAGCTGTCAGATTAATGAGCTAGTCTGCGAATCTTGACCCATATATGCATCCTTAACTGTAAGTCTGTTGCACCTCAAAAACCTTCTTCATCCAAACAATCCATTCATAAAGTCATATAATTATTGACCAAGATCTATATTCTTCTAGAAAACACTTAGAATCATTTTCAGATTTTGCCTTCTCATTCTATAACTTCAACTTTTACAAAATGTGTTATTCATTGTCATCTTCCACCTCAAGGCCAAAGCCCTTTCTCTATTCATATAATTACCAAGTAATAGCTTAATTCCATCAAACCATCCAAGTTCTTCAAAAATACCACATAATGTTCCAAAGCCTCCAACGCTTCTATCATCACATTCACTACATCCCTATTAGCAAATATGGGGTTGGAGCAAATTGTTGTATAACAAAAAAATAATTTTAAATTTTTACTTTAGAGATAAACAACTGAGAAAACTTAAAAAAAATACAATCGAATGAATTATCTGCATCACTATCAAAACTACAAAGGACTTAAAGGAAATGATAGTCCATCTAGGGGCTTTTCTATCTCCAGTTGAGCTAATGCTTAATTTTCTGAATGCTTACTATTCAGAATGAAATCTCATACCAATTGTCTCGTATGATTTATGCAAATTGCTTGAACAATTATGTAAGTAATTACTCCTAACCACTTGCTTATCTCCACACCTTTCATTTTTGTCCTTGGTCTTTCATGTTCAATTAGTAATATCAAAGTATGACGGGAGAGAAAACTCATCAACCAAATACTCATATTAGTACTATTTCTACCTCAATCTTCAATGAAGTTAAGTGAACTAAGATGATCAATCAGTTTGCAAAATCCATCTTCCTCTATGACAAAAAGACTATCAAGGATTGAAATAAGGAGAAACTAATATTTTTTCAGTTTTAAAAGTCCCAAAATTATAATATATCGACATATTTTAAGGTTATCATTACTATACAATTTGTTAGCACCCTTAATATGGCCAATATTGTAGTTTCAAGAATTATAGTATTGTCGAAAATAATAGACAAGGGATAATAGACTTACGATTCTTCCAAATCAATTACTTTGATGGCGACTAATTTGTTGAGCTCTCTATCAAACCTGGAAATAAAATAGTAAAACAAAGAGACAAACAACTCATTTTCTGCGTTTAACTTGTGGCCTATAAATAAAAAGGAACAATAACTAGTTCTTTAGCCATATTATTTTTATTTTATGCTACAATGAAGATTGACTACAAAACATAAATAATCTTGTTGAAGTTTCTCATATGTATTTCTTACTATTTATCTTCTTGACTGTATAAACAATATCTATAAACTTGCTAAAGTAGACATTTTCTTGAATCCTTACCAGTAAAATTTTTTTCCCAAGTATTATACAAAATAGAGCTCAAATAAGTAATATGCTTGGTTTTATTTTGCAAAGCATAAAAATTCCAATGATCGTGACTTATGCGTCTTAGTTTCAATAACTTTGTAATGTCCATACAAAATGAGTTAGATAAACACAACTATTAACTATCACCCATAAAAAGAATAAAAACACTCAACACATTTATGCTTGGCTACCAATATTTGCCAACTAGGTAGTTCTCTAGAAACTAGACATGTCATGTTTGGAATCCAACATGAATTTTCTAATTGTATATTTCATACAATATGCCATGATCTAGATTGTACATATCACTTTAAGTGTAAAACAAATGCAAAAAGAAAATAAAAGGCCAACATAAGAATTGTTATTGTAATGGAAAATTTAAGTAGTGAAAATGATCTAAAAAGGACATATATCCTTCTCTTTATAGTAAAAGTCTATGATGTACTTTGTTGCAAATTTTTACATAGAAATTTACAAGCGTAGATAAAAGAAGAGGATATATTGGGTAATAGATAACAAACATTAAATATTTGTAGCATACATGGATAGATCACGTGTTTATGTTCTATGGGTTTACGCCACATGTCAACTTTAAACCTTGTATTTTTACCTTGATTTTAGACATTCATACTCAACATATCCGGGATCCAATGCCTTAATAAATTTTTTTTGCACATGTTATATTTATAGCAAAAGATCCAAGAAAGGAAATAAATATTAAACTAGAGTTATGGAGAAAAGCTTAGAAATAACATAAATGCTCATTTAAGTAGAAATAATAACAAAGTATATAAAATGAAAATTTGACAAGATGTGCTTTAGCATCAACTTGAAGGTAAAAATTAGGAATCATATCATGCTACAAGTAATATTGTTTAGGTGTCCTACATGTATCATAAAAGACAATAGAGAGGTTGAAACACATTAAAGCTGGTTTCATGTTTTACCCATGATAGACAAGTGTCATTTAAACTAAAGGAAATTTTTTACTAAATAATCATAAGACAAGTAACATTTTATGATATTGTATGTTCAATGATAAAAAGGCCAGCAAGAGCACAAGAGATAGCAGATGAAAATGTTGTGTTGAATGAGAAATCATATAAACAGAAAAAAGTAAAATAAAAATCAAGAATTCATGTATTAGGAAGAAATTTGAAATGACATCTATTGAGGAAAAGTTGGTAAAAATTCCTATAACATAGTTTGGACCTATTACCAGAAGATTAATACAAGTTTCAATTAGAAGAGTTAATCATATGGAGGATAGCCTAATTATTAAGGTAGAGATAGAACTAGAAAAGCTCTAAGTAAATCCGTTAAAAAGTATCTAGAACTAATTTGGATGAGTTAACAATTGGTTTGAGACAAAACACAATGGCATAGTTTGATTCATGTAGCCAACCTCAATAAAATAAATAAATAAATTGTCATTGAGGTTGTTGTTATTATTGTGTTTATAGTAATATTTAAAATCACTCATTAGTTATAAAAATAAAATGCACATGACCTATTTCTTTTAATAAATAAATGCAATTAAACTCTTGCTCCTAAAAGTGTGGCTTAATTTTACTTTCACTTTGTCTACTATAGCTAATCTTCATGCTTATTTTCCAAATTTTGGAGAAAGGTACCATTATACACATTTTCTTTTACAATATTAACTATTATCCAAAAATTTCATTCGGTCCATTTTATAATGATGTTTATCTAATGTTTGCATCCATTAATGCTCTTTATTCATACTAGCATCAAATCGCATATATATATATATATATATATA